TGTGTGATTGGTCTTACCATCAATGGCAAACAGAGCACTTTAGTCTCTTTTCTAGAGATTGATGGTAACTCTGATTCCCTCCACTTCTAACCTGTCTTTTCTGATGCCCCAATAGCATATTATTTGTGACTCGAGTTAGCATTTGAATCATTTCATTCTCCCGTGTATTAGCGGTTTTCACGTTGACAGTATTGGAGACGGCACACACAGGACCCTCATAGGGACCCCATAGCCTAGGGTGGGAGGCACTTGGTAAATGCTTGGAATTTAAGGAAATACACTTAATACTTGATACCCTTTAAGGCACCATTAGACCCATATATTTTAAAAGAGACTTCAAATAATTTAGCAACATAATCTTGCTCATGGTCTTGGCAGTTCTGTTCATAGCATAGTAAGTAATGCTCAAAATTCTCCAAGCCAGGCTTCAACAGTATGTGAACTATGAACTTCCAAATGTTCAAGCTGGATTTAGAAAAGGCAGAGGAACCAGAGATCAAATTGCCAACATGTGTTGGATCATTGAAAAAGCAAGAGAGTTCCAGGAAAGCATCTACTTCTGCTTAGGAAAGCATCTACTTCTGCTTTATTAACTACGTCAAAGCTTTTGACTGTGTGGACCACAACAAACTCTGGAAAATTCTTAAAGAGATGGGAATACCTGACCACCTGACCTGCCTTCTGAGAAATTTGTATGCAGGTCAGGAAGCAATAGTTAGAACTGGACATGGAACAACAGACTGGTTCCAAATAGGGAAAGGAGTACATCAAGGCTGTATATTGTCACCCTGCTTATTTAATTTATATGCAGAATACATCATGAGAAATGCTGGGCTGGATGAAGCACAAGCTGGAATCAAGATTGCTGGGAGAAATATCAATAACCTCAGATATGCAGATGATATCACCCTTATGGCAGAAAGTGAAGAGGAATTAAAGAGCCTCTTGATTAAAGTGAAAGAGGAAAGGGAAAAAGTTGGTTTAAAACTCAACATTCAAAAAACCAAGATCATGGCATCTGGTCCCATCATTTCATGGCAAATAGATGGTGAAACAGTGGAAACAGTGAGAGACCTTATTTTGAGGGGCTCCAAAATCACTGCAGATGGTGACTGCTGCCATGAAATTAAAAGATGCTTGCTCCTTGGAAGAAAGTTATGACCAACCTAGACAGCATATTAAAAAGCAGAGACATTGCTTTGTCAACAAAGGTCCATCTAGTCAAGGCTATGGTCTTTCCAATTGTCATGTATGGATGTGAGAGTTGAACTATAAAGAAAGCTGAGCGCCGAAGAATTGATGCTTTTGAAGGTGGTGTTGGAGAAGACTCTTGGGAGTCCCTTGGACTGCAAGGAGATCCAACCAATCAGTTCTAAGGAAAATCAGTCCTGAAAATTCATTGGAAGGACTGATGCTGAAGCTGAAATTCCAGCACTTTGGCCACCTGATGTGAAGAACTGACTCATTAGAAAAGGCCCTGATGCTGGGATAGATTGAAAGGCAGGAGGAGAAGGGGATGACAGAGGATGAGATGGCTGGATGGCATCACCGACTCGATGGACATGAGTTTGAGCATGCTCCAGGAGTTGGTGATGGACAGGGAATACCGGCGTGCTGCAGTCCAAGGGGTCGCAAAGAGTTGGACACGACTGAGCGACTCAGCTGAACTGCTCTGTGCTTGTCACTGTTTATCAGAGTGATAAACTGAAGTGGAGAAAGTGAGGATGGCCGCTTCACGGGCAGGATTAGGAATGAGCAAGGGGCACCCTCGCATTCCCTGGTGATTCAGCGGCAAAGAATCCGCCTGCCAATGCAGGAAACCTGAGCTCGATTCCTGGCTTGGGAAGATCCCCTGGAGGAGAAAATGGCAACCCACAGTATTGGGTTGCCTGGAGACAACAACAACAGTATTCTTGCCTGGAGAATCCCATGAGCAGAGGAACCTGGTGGGCTACAGTCCATGGGGTCACAAAGAGTCAGACAGGACTAAGCAACTGAACAGCACATCCTCATCTCGTTCGGTCTGCATCTTTACAAACAAGACCAGGACGCGTTGACTCTCTTGTTCGTTTCACAGAGTAACAGAAGACAGCATTTTGGGGGAAGAACTCATGACTTTTAAAGTGTTTCCTAAAATGTACTGTTTTCAGTAAAATTATTTAATGTGGAAGGAATCTTGTCAAGAATATAACAACATGCCATTTGTAACGTGTAGCATCCAAGGGCACTTTCTTTTCTGAAACATTCTTGGGAAGGATAATTTTAGAAGTTGGCTGCACACTTCCTGACCCTAAGTCTGCCCTGTCTCCCAGGGCAATTACCCAGAGGACTCCGTTGATTAATACAAATGAAAACACTGCCATCAAGATTTTAAAACATGTATATTATTATCCATATGTGCACAAAGCAAGTCCCACTGGGCAGCTTGAGTTGGCCGATGTGTTTCTAGTCTATCCGTGCTTTGGTTTGTTATGTCAGGCAAACTTTTTTGTCTTTATTTTTCACATTTCAGGAATCAATGTGTCCGATACTGATGTGGTTTAGATGGATTAAAGATTTAGATTTACATGTATGAATGTGAGGAAGCCTTGGAACTTAAGGTACCTGGATGATTACAGTCAGGCCATTGGACCAGTCGTGTCTTTGACGTTCTTTGGAAGTCCTGGGAACTTTCACTTACTCATTGTACGTTAAACAGCGCGGCTTCCCAGATTGTTAAAATAGTATTGACCTCAGGGACCTTGTTTTCAACTGCTCTCTTCCATAGTTGATTTTTGGCCATCTCCTTTGGCATGATTAAAAGCTGACTTATTTATGGAGTGCTGCTAATTGATGGATGTCAAACTCTGTTACTGTGGGGGGCAGGGGCAGGCTTCCCAAACTTTCGAATCCCAACTGGGAAATTTTGAAAACCGAGTGCGTGGTTTTCCCATGGAGCCTCTCCCAGCCACTCTCATGCACATCCTGCCTTCTCCTGCTCACTTTTTACCAAAACCAGAACTTGAGAGGCCACGGAAGCCCCGCTATAATCCTCTCTCTCTATGCCAAACTGAGGAGAGCACCAGGGCATCAGATGACTGGAGAGGAGCCCTCAGACCTGGACTCAGCCCGAGGGATGTCCTTGAGAACTATTTTCTGAATTCAACAAAGCAAGGTACTTGTCTCTGCTCTGTACCTGCAGTTGCTTTCTGGATTTAGCTTTTATTTTTAGCACATTCTTATTGTCTCTCTCTTCGATACTCTGAAAGGCTTGTCCAAGAGCGGTTTGTCACTGTGATTTCCTGTGAAGAATGAGGGGTTCAGGAGTCTGGGGGAAGGGGTCTTCGGATGCTGGCCGCATGTCTGCCAGGTTACCGCTGGTGGCAGCCACCCACTTGTTGGAGAACCTTCCATGAGGACCACCATGTTGCATCCTTGAGGAAGTCAAGGCTTGGGTTTCCTTTTCTTTTTAGAGCATTGGTTTTGAAGTCAGAAAAATCCTGGTTTTACCATATATCTGTTTGAGAGGCTTCTTAGCACATTTGAGCCTCATTTTGTCCATCTGTAGAATGGGGAGGTTATTGCAGACTCCCATGGCATCGCTGCAGGGATGGCAGGAGCTCACCCTGGGAGCAGCTCTTGCAGTGCAAGGCGGGCACATGGCAGGCGAGTGGGTGACGACCCTTCCCGTCCCCCTAACGGGAGAAGCCCAGCTGCACACACCCCTGTCCTCTGTGTATCTGTGGCTCACCTCCAGTGATTTTCCATGATGCCGCCTCCCCGCTCATCCTGATCTCCAGGGAGTCTTGCCAGTGGTTCTGCCTTCCTATGTCTTTCCTTGTCTATTACCAGCAAGAGATGACCACTTTCTTAGGGCACCTGATGTTTGGAACCGCAAGGAGACAATGTGCTTCCCGGAGCCGAGGATCCGAGCTTTCGTGCGTGCTTTCCTAGGAGGCGAGGAGAAGCAGGGCTGTCCTGTAACTCCTAACCTGTATCTGGCGTTGCCAGGACAGGCACTCAGGGCCTGGACGGATGAATGGGGCCTCTGTGTGTGGATGAAAAAACCCAGCGTTTCTCTTCCAGTTGCTGCAGTGAGAAGAACAAATTAGATTATTAATTTGATCATGTGGTAGCATGAGCCGACAGCCTATTTAGTTTCATTGTTAAAACAAGTGTGGTTTTGAATGATGTGGACTTTCCCTCTTACTTAGATGGCAAAGAATATTCATTACGGATATCAATAAAGACCATGCTGGTGATCCAGCCTCCAAAGCTGCCAGCCCCCCTCGCATGCAGAAAAGGCAGAAAAGGACATTTAAATGGTTGAGAATAAGAATGGGAGACTGGAAGCCAAATTATAAACTCATTTCAACTCCTGGCCCGCAGGCCCTAGAGTGGCCTTATTTGTTGTCAAGGATGGAAAACAACTCGGATTCGGGTCCAAGTGATTATTCGACTTTGGCATTGCTGTGGGGCTGCCAACTGCAGTTCCATTTAGACACAGATTAATTAGCCAGGCAGGGACGGAAGTGGGCCGGGAGAGGAGGCAGCGCTGCGGGGGGACTGGCCGGGCGGGGGTGGGGGGGATGGCCCCGGCTGGCCCACTGCTTCAACAGTTAACCCACAGGAAAGCGGATCCAGATGGCCCCTTCTGTGGTGACACTCCTCACACCGTATTACTGACTTAGTGTCAATGTTGCAGAGAAAACTTTCAAACTTGGGCGCAGGGAGAAACAGCATGTGACAGCCCCCAGCCCTGGCACAGGGAGGCGGACCCCGCGGACCTGAGCCGCTTAGCAATCTTGTCTTTGTCCCCCTGCAACCACCCTGGACCTTTAAAAAAAAATTATTATTATTCCTGCATGTGAAACGGGAACCATAGAGTATTTTCGTGTGTGTGTGTGTGTGTGTGTGTGTGTGTGCGCTATGACTTGAATTATAAAGACAGATGAGATGAAATCACAGGCTCGGGAAAACAGGACTCTGCGTTAAGGAGTTGAAGACAGAATTATTCGCATCTATTTAATCGCGGGGGCGAATCCTCTCCGGAGTGTTTCCCCCGATGCTGTGTTCGTTCGTACCCCTTCTGAGTCCGCGTTGATCTCCGTGGACACAAGGGCGCTCGCCGGATTCCTGAAAGGCCGCGGGGCGCAGGGCTGGACGGAGCGGGCGGAGGGGGGCGTCCGGGGAGGAGGCGGGTCCCGCGGGCGGTGCGCGGGGCGTCCGCGGGGGCGCGCGTCCCGGGGAGCTGGGCTCTCCAACTTCCCAGGGGTTTGCTGTTTTGTAACATTTCTTCCTTCCCTACGACCGACCATTAGAAAAAAGTGGCGGCGCGGCGCGCAGTCGCCCCCCCCCCCCCCCCGCCCCCCGACCCCACCTGAACCGCGGCTTCGCTGCGGACGCAGCGCCCAGGCCCCGGCGGCTTCGGGAGCCAGCGGGCACCCTTCCTCCCTGCGAGGTTTGCTTTTTCTGGGTTCTTTTCCAAGAGTGTGACTCTGCTTTGCTTTTACACACGTATCTACATGGCTCTCGACATTTATTTTAAACCTTGATCATTTTTTTTTAAAACAAAAGCTTTGCATTTTACCTATTAAAATAGAGGAAAATACCATCCTGCTTTTGGGGGCAGGACTTTGGATAAATTGTATTTTAGATCCTAAGTGATTTAAAATTTTGTAATATCATCTGTATTTAAGGCGTGGAAATTCCCAGAAGTGACTCCTATTTTTATTTTTTAGATTCCTTTCCATTTCAAGGAGGAAAGTCAAGATATTTTTACTCAGTGGAAGAATGATGTAGTTTCATCCTAACCTTCTTTTCTTATGCTTCCAGGTAAGTGAGTCTGTTAATCATGAATTACTTAAGAAATGAATCTTTGTATGGTCTGAGTTTATTCAGTATTCTGGCTATGTTTGAAATGTGCTGAATTTCATTTTACTTCCAATAGTTCCATTAATAACAGATTATTATTTTAAGATACGAGTACTTTTTCAAGGTAATATAATTACTTGGCTGCCTTGGAAAATTCTTTTATTCACTTGTGAAGCCTGTAATTTACATTTAACTCTGCCAACTTCTTCAGAATTTATCTCTTCTCAGAATGGCAAATGCCAATAATGTAGTTAGAAGAACTACGTAATTCTTCTTTAAAAAATTCACCTGAATAGAATCATTTGTTCTTCTTATGGAAGTTGTGATGAAATGTTAAGCTTTCTCAAATATTTAACCTATAATCAAAAGGGCATCATAATTTTCACCATGCTGCAAAATAATTATTTAAATAAAATAGGAAATTGAAGGATGATCTTACTTTCTGACTTATAACATATCAGGGGAATACTTTCTAGAACTCCTGGAGAATAGTACCCTGACAGATTATATGGTTGGTTTCAGATTTATGGTTTGGGGACACATGTAAACCTCAGGGACATTGTTTTAGTTCTGCTCTTGTGAGCAGTGATTTTGAATTTCTCTGTAATAACATATTTGATTACATCTGGAAAGACTAAACCATTGAAAAAAACTAAGAACTTCAGGGACATCATTAGTTGAAATGGAACAGTATGAGATGGGAAGTCACGTATGTGGTTCTTGTGTTCAGCAGAACAAACCTTTATTTTAGCTTTCTATGGAGATGAGTCTATAGACGTAAAAATGAAAATAGATCAGCTGTGCTCACCATCTGCATACCTTCAGGAAAACCCCTTCACTGGTCTTCATTCAACAAATTGCTATAGAAGTTTTGTTTTGATTTTTAATTTTTACTTTTGTGGTACTGTTTGAGATAAAAGGCTGACAGTCAAAACTTTGGATGTGATTGTGCTTTAATGAACTGCTTTGTACTCAAACAATGGCGAGTGAGGAGTTAAAGGGATTGTATCTGAGTTACTAGTTATGAAAAAGAAAAACAACCTTGCCCAAAGTTAATAATACATACAAAAACAACCAAACAATAATCTTCACAAATTATTTTCTGAGTAGAGACTTGAGTGGCTAAGAGGCCTAAGTGACCCAAGGCTACTTTGAGGGTCACAGTGGAAGTCTTCTAATCTGAGGTATTTCAATGTTTAATGTTTTTGAGAAGGACTTGGATGATGTAGAAGAGAATAGGGTCATTAGAACATCATGATATTGAAACCTTGAGATAATTGTAGAGAAGAGCCAGAGTAAACTGTACTAAATAGAGAAGTAGTGAGAAGTAGTCCAATTAAGATGTTCATACCCCAGGATGAAGTGATGAGGGAGGCCCGGCTGGGTTTTGGCGAGGGTCTGGTCTCTGTACGTCCTGCCTCAGAGACACGGTGTTCCTGGGGAGTCAGGATCCCCTGGGACAGTGGGAGCTTGGGAAAGCCTTCAGTTTTCCAGGAACTGTGGGCCTCCCAGGTGACATTAGTGGTAAAATAACCCGCCTACCATGAAGGAGACAAAAGAGATGTGGGTTCGATCCCTGGGTCAGAAAGATCCCCTGGAGGAGGGCATGGCAACCCACTCCAGTATTCTTGGATAGAGGACGGTATCTTGGACATTATCCCGTGGACAGAGGAACCTGGTGGCCTATACTCACTCCATAGGGTCACAAAGAGTCAGATACAACTGAAGCGACTTAGCATGCATGCACACTCCTTAGAGTCAGTTCCTCATAGATGCAGGGCTTTGAATGTCCTTTATAGGGGGCCTTCAGCAGGCCTTCAGGGGGCAACCGTGTAAACTGGGAACGAGTGGCTGGCTGGCAGGTGTACCTGCCCTGTGCACGGTGGTCCTGCAGTCCCAGCCGGGAGAGGTGGTTGGTTCAGTTGTTCACCAGCTCGAGGTGCTGAAAGGCTCCCCGGGGGATCTCCTGGTCTCCTCTGTGTCACCCTGGTACCTTCGGTGCCGCCCGGCCTTCTCCGTGAATTGCGGCCCACTGAGGTCGTGCCCCCACCCGGAGCCCGGTGTCTCCACACTCTCTCCCACCGGGAACTCTTCCTTCGCTGCCACCCGCCCAGGGAACGTCCACTGGTCCTGCAGTGGCAATCCCCCCGTGGGGCTTCCAGCGCTCAGACTCAGGTCCTGGCACCTGGATATGCTGAAAGAGGCATTGCATGGTTGATGAAAGCGTGGGAAGGGAATGTAGGGGTGCTGGCGCTGTGGGAAGTGCACCCCTCTGCTCCCCACACCCTCCTGAGCGGGCACCTGGCACTGGCTCCTTATCGTGGTCTCACGACGGCCGCCTGGACCCCCGAGCAGGACGCTGACCCGGCGGTTCTCACTCTGTGATCCAGTTAGCTCCTCAGATGCTGTCTGTGGGGTCCAAGCTCTGTTTGTGGACCGATCACCCTGTAGTTCTTTGCAGCTCTGCGAGCCCATGCATGATATGTGTCTATCAGATAACGTGAAGTAGTAGCTGATGCCATTTCATTTTGGAACGAAGGGGTGTTGCAAGTAAATATGGATGTAAAACCATAATGGAGTAACTTGGCAAATTGCGCATATTTTCAAAACTAGAGAATCAAGTAGAGAAGTTTGTATCGATCGTTTACGAAGTGGCCTTCTTTGGGATCTGTTTTGGACATCCACAGTCTTTCCACTTAATGGAATGAGACGTGAAGAATGTAAGCTTGTCATGAGTGCCAGTGCCTGCTGCTGCAGTTTTAATTTATCCTCCTGAACCACAGTTCCTTTTCGGCAGATGGGGCTTCTCCAGGCCAGGCCAGGAGAGGCACGCTGGCCCGATGCAGTCTGCCTCGGGGCCACTGTCTCTGTCTGCTGATTGTCACCTCCTCAGGCCTGGCTTTTGTCTTTTCTCCTCTGTTCCCAGGCTCTGCTCATTGAGATTCTCCTTCCATCAAGTGGGTTTCTTGCTTCAGCCTCTCATGCCCGTGTCTTGCCCTGCCGGCCCCTCACCCCCCAACCCTCCACCTCCTTCTTCCTCTGTGCCCCTCCTCACTGCGTTCCTGCTCTGGACTCAGCCCTGGAAATCCTTCCTGGCCTTTGCCCGGCCTGGGGCTGGGCCCTGTCGCCCCGCACCATTCTTCATTGTCTGCAGTTGCTCACCTGCTGGGTGTTTGTCCTGTGGCCATCATCGTCCTCAAAGAGGGCTCTGAATCTACCTTTGCATCACCTGGCATATGTTTGTCCACATACATGTTCACAGACAAATGTTTGGATGAATTTCTGGTATCTGAAAGCCCTCATCAGAACCAAGCATCGTCAGTATTTTAATTTGCTGAGGGCTTGACCATGTACAGTCTGCATGACTGAACGTGCGTGCAGTGACAGTATGCCTGTCTTTTCTCTGCCTTCTTTTCCCTCTCTGTCTTCTTTCACATTTGTGTTTTCTGTGCTGCCATGGATAGGAGGAATGTGAACTGGTGCTCTAACTCCAGCACCAGCGCCTGCTTAGGTTAAATAAATTCTTTTATAAGTAAGTCACGGAAGGTTGGAAGCAACCCAGCTGTCCACTGGTGGTGAGTTGATAAACAAAATGTGGTCTGTACATTCAGTGGAATAGTACTCAGCCTTAAAAAGGAAGGAGAGTCTAACATATGCTACAACATGGATGGAACTCAATGTTACACAAAGGTGAAATCAGACAGTCACCAAAAGGCAAATACTGCATGATTCCATTTTTAGGAGGTAGCTGGAACAGTCATACTCATGACGACAGAGGGTAGAATGGTGGTTGCCAGTGGTTGAGGGAGCAGAGGATGAAGTTGTTTAATACTGTTTAAGTTTTCAAGACAAAGAAGTTCTAGAGAGTGATTATATGACAGTGTGAATATATTTGAAAATTTCAAGAAAATAAACTTTATGTTACATGTATTTTACCATAATTAAAAATAACAAAGTAAGTCAAAGACCTGACTTTAAAAAAGAATAATAATCCTTTAAAAGTAAAAAAAAAAAGTTGAAAGGGATTTCTTTTTTTTTTTTCCCACTTTATTTTTTTAATGAAAGGGATTTCTTTGATTTGGGGACATTTCCTTCCTTGAGCTTGATTTTTCATTTGTGTAGAGTGTAAAAGAAATTATTGATTTATGTACTTTTGGCTGTGTTGGATCTTTGTTGTGGCACTCGGGCTTCTCGTTGCAGGCTCTTCTCTTGTTGCGGGGCACAGTCTGCAGGGTGCTGGGGCTCAGTAGCTGTGGCCCACGGGCTTAGTTGCTCTGCCGCATGTTTATCTTCCCCCAACCAGGGATGGAACCCGTGTCCCTTGCATTGACAGGTGGATTCTTAACCCCTGGACCACCAAGGAAGTCCCACTTAGATTTTATATCACTTTTCATTAAAAAATGGTACTGTGTAAGAAAAACAAATTATCTTCCCATTGATGAGACCTTTGGAATTTACTTTTAGACTTTGTTATTCCTTTTCTTAGTGTTGCCTGTATTTTCAGTTAAAATCTGGTTCAAAATTACCCACTTCCTCACCTGTTTTTCTTCACCAAAGGTAACAGGATCCTATTGCTCATCTGGAAATACTTGTATGACATTGAAAATCAATATGAGGAGCAGGAATGCTTTTTCTGTCCCAAGAAGAGGGCATGACAGACTCTAGGGTTTAATTTGACTGCTCATGAGGAGATAGCTGGGCTTTCCTGGTGGCTCAGACGGTAAAGAATCTGCCTGCAATGAGAGAGACCCTGGTTCGATCCCTGGGTCAGGAAGATCGCCTGGAGGAGTGCATGGCAACCCTCTCCAGTATTCTTATCGGGAGAATGCCAGGGACAGAGAAGCCTGGCAGGCTACAGTCGATGGGGTTGCCAAGAGTCAGACACGACTGAACGACTAACTCTAACAGTTTCAAGGAGACAGCTACTTTAAATCTTGCCTTTTTATTTTTATTTTTTCATTACACTAATGGCCCTGTCAAGTGAAAAATCATGACCCTACAACTGTAAATAAAACTCTGGTGCTTGAAAGGGCACAGTTTCACAAGGTTCAGCTGACAATTAGGAAGCAGTTGTCTCAAAGGTTCTGACCCATTAGGTAGTATGTTTCCTGAAGAACTTAAAATGAAACTTGAATCCCTTCAGCCTAGGGGCATACTGGCTGAGAACGGAAGGTAGAGATCGGGTGAGGCCATGTGTGAAGGTTTGGGGGGAAAGTGGGAATGAAAGTCAGAGGCAGAGGGTAGGCAAAAGAAGGAGTTAGGACCTTATGGAAACTTCCAGCTCAATTGTTCCTGAGGTTTTTAACATTCCAAATGATGATCCTATGGTCAAGGCCTCTAGAAAAAATGAAATTCATCTCTACTATTGGGAAACTCATTCAAGTTGATACTGTAAATTTTTTTTGTAAAGTTTTTTTTAAAAAAACATGGTAATTAGGAATAATAGTGTTTATACTCGAATGTTGTGATAAAGACATGCATATTTTCAATTCAACAAAAATGTGAGACTTATTATTGGGTTGGCCGAAAGGTTTGTTTTTTCCCCGTAAGATGGCTCTTGTAGCGTTTAGTTGTCTTTAACTTCATTGAAAACAATTTTGTTAGATTGTATTGTGACAGCTATCATATCAGCATGCATTTTAAAAAACTTACCAAAATTGGTGAATTGTTGTGTAACCATTTTAGTATTGAAGATGGAAGAAAAAAAACCAATATATTATGCTTTATTATTTTAAGAAAGGTAAAAACGAAAATGAAACACAAAAGATGACTTGTGCAGTATATGAAGAAGGTGCTGTGACTGAAGGACCATGTCAGAAGTGGTTTGCAGAATTTTGTGCTGGAGATTTCTTGCTGGACGATGCTCCAAGGTCGGGTAGACCAGTTGAAGTTGATAGCAATCAAAACGAGACATTAATTGAGAATAATCAACATTAAACCACTTGGGAGACAGGCAGCATTTCAAAATACTGAAATTGGTATTGAGAATCATATGCACCAGCTTGGTTATGGTCACTGCTTTGATGTTTGGGCTGCACATAAGTTAAGTGGAAACACTGTCTTGAGTGTATTTTTGCATGAGAGTCTCTACTTAAACATAATAAAAACATTACCTGTTTTTAAAACAAACTGTGAGGGATGATGAAAACTGGATATTGTATAATAATGTAGAATAGAAGAGTTCATAGGGCAAGTGCAGTGAACCACCACCAACTACACCGAAGGTCAGTCTTCATCCAAAGAAGGTAGCATTGTGAATACGGTGGGCCTGAAAGGGAGTCCTCTGTTATGAGCTCCTTCTATAAAATCAAAAGATGAATTTTGACAGGTACTGCTCCCAGTTAGACCAGCTGAAGGCAGCACTTGATGAAAATTGTGTGGAATTGGTCAACAGAAAGTGCAAAATCCTCTACCAGAGTACCACAACACTGAATGGTTTCTTTGTTGACCAGGCAAAAACTGTTACAGCTTGGCTGGGAAGTTCTGATTCCTCCACTGGATTCACCAGACATTGCGCCTTTGGATGTCTTTGGGTTTTTTTTTTTTTTTGTCTTTGCAAAATCCTCTTAATGAAAAAAAATTTCCATTTCCTGGAAGACTGTAAAAGGCACCTGAAATAGTTCTTTGCTCAAAAAGATAAAAAGTTTTGGGAAGATGAAATTATGAAGTTGCCTGGAAAATGGCAGAAGGTAGTGGAACAAAATGATAAACATGTTTAGTAATGTTCTTGTTGAAAATGAAAAATGATTCTTTTATTTTTACTTAAAAACTGAAGTAACTTTCTGGTCAAACAGAAGTATGCTGGTCTTGAACCCCTTTGGTTACCAAGTGCCAATTCTTGGGTTGGATCCAGTCGCTGGTGAACGTAATGACATATACCATTGGCGTTTCTCTGCAGAGAAATGAGAATAATAAAGTGATGTTTTCAAAGAGCTAATATTCACTTTAAAGGAATAATGTTTATTTTGAGCTTCTGGTCTTTTTTCTTATATATTAAAATGTAAAATATTTATTCTTTTAGAATACCATGATAGTTAATATTTAAAATTTCTATTTCTTGGCAAATTAAAATGTTGGATGTCATTTAGCATTCCTGGTTCCAAGAACCAGAAATGAACTAGACTACCTTAGGAAAGGAACCTGTTGGAATTCGCACAAGGTTATGTGTGTGTGTGCTAAGTCGCATAAGTTGTGTCCAACTCTGCAACCCCATGAACAGTAGCCCTCCAGGCTCCTCTGTCCATGGGATTCTCCAGGCAAGAACACTGAAGTAGGTTGCCATGCCCTCCTTCAGGGAATCTTCCCGACCCAGGGATTGAACCAGCGTCTCTTATGTTCCCTGCATTGGCAGGCAGGTTCTTTACTGCCAGTTCACATCTGATAAAACTTCCAGCCAGGGCTACTGGTGTCATTAAATGTGTTTTCTAAGTTTATCAAACCTGTGACAGCTTTGTCCCAAGCCA